CCTCACCAAGCCTCAATCACATCAATCATTCTTAGTCATCTTTCAGCTCTTCTGATCCTCAGCTAGTTGTTCATTATCTAAAGCAATCAACTCCTATCCCACATGAATAGTGAGAAACCCATCACATGCATCTTAGACATAAGTATTTCAAGCAATCAACATTCTAAGGACATGTTTGGAATGCAGAAATTTCACATGAATGATACATGAATTTCATAGAAGAAACGCAGGAACAGAAAAAAAAAAATCTTCCATTCCAAACAGGGCCTAAGAAGTAAAGAATCAACACTAAGGTATGGAGGTGAACAACAAGTGGGTGTGATAGGTCATAGGCCTACATACATAAACATGCATCTTAAGTAACATAAACAAGTTATGCAATTTTAATAAAAGAAGCAAGATGCTTAGAGGCCTATCTTGGGGATTTACTTGAGGTTCGACTGGTTCGGGTTCAGTAGCGAACTCAACCTCCGGCTCAACGTTCATCTCATCTATATGAGTTGCAATGATCATGGATGCATGAGGTAGAAACACTTTGAACTTAGTTTGGAATACAAATAGGACAACATAGTAACATATTACTTCTGAGGTCTTAGGCTACAGGGTGCTAGTCGACATATACAAACTGCCCGTCTACTCAAGTCGGACCATTTGTATGAGGGGTCGGACTGTCCTTCCAGAACTTGTATGCTTCAGACTTGGGTGGGTTCATGAGGACCGTCCATAGCTAACCGTCAGACTATCCGAGTGATATACACCATGTTCGCTTGATCGTTTATGTGGCTTATAACCCGGCTGATGCTGTTTTGTTATGAGAGAAAAATATTGTATCATGGTTGATAAGCATGGCTGATACGATCAAGCGAACATGGTGATATATGTTTGGGGTAGCTCAGATGGCATAACTCATAGGTGAAGTTTTGTTGGATTGTCCCTCTGAACAGGCGGTACGTCCGCCTAAACAGGTTGGGACTTATGCAGACAAGGTGCTTCTCTGGTGTTGTCTTCATAGAAGATTTCACAAGACTATTATCAGTTAGTTTTTTGACTTTTCTGAGATATATTGGCGGATGAATTAGTCATCGTTGTTCTCGTTTATTTAGTCCTCTCATCAATAACATATTGTGGAATAATATACATTCTCATCGATTATGAGTACGTAGTTGGGAAGCATGATTTTGCATTGGATTAATTAGATTGGATTAGAAGGATCCATTATTCAAAAATTCTAATTCATTTCTTCTTCAAATATTCACTTGTGGCATATATAGTCCATATTTCTCTGATGATTTATCTTACAAAGAAAGGACAAAGAAAAAAGGCTTTCTTATGGAAACGCATATTATTGTTTATTTTTAGGGATAAAAAATCGCAACATACTAGTTACGGACCGTCTATCCGACTAGTCAGATGGTCCGTCTGGTCATGACATGAAAACAACCCTCACTAGAATGGAGAGAATATCCATGTATCGTCCGTCTATGCTTCCATACTATCCCTAGTACGTGATCCTAGGCGATCTGCTGGCTAGGCCATGCATTTGTGGATTGGATGTGGGATCTGTGCAGAGGTGATTAGTCTTTGCTGGTCAGGTTCTACTCTAGCGGTCCGTCGTCTGCTAGGTTCTACTTTACCATCCGTGAAAGGGAGAAGAGTGAGAGTGAGGAAGGGATAGAAAAAAAGACGTTGCAAGTGAGGGACGGCGGACCAAAGAAATTATTGTACTCCTCACATTTTGCCAGTTTGGTTGATGCACCCCAATCCATTTCCTTCTCAAACACGACACAATATGTAGAATTGCCAACCCATGGTGTACACGTACATATATACTAGCCTAAAGCGAGTACACGTGCAAGCTGGCTACAAACATGCTTATATAGGCGGTAATCCTTCGTATAGGGCATCCATCCGTGTGGGACGCTCTAGATGCTGGGCTGCCCGTGCCAGCTCAACGACCGCCCTTTTTATGTGCTCATCCACTCGCCTCCAGCCGTTTTAAAAAAAAACTCACCTCACAGTAGCGTTGCGACAGGTATCCGCGAGACCATGACTGTGCTCCGCCGCGCCCACGGCACCTCGGCGACCGCGCTCTCCACCACGCCTCTGCTCCGCCAGGCGGCATCTCCACCGCTCTAGAGTGCAGCAGCCCGTCTTCCTCCCTCTCCACCACGCCTCTCGCCCGCTGCGGCCTTCTCCATCGAACCTGTAGTGGCCTTCTTCACCGGAGCGGTGAGCTCTACACCGGTGAACTCCACGCGCTGACGAGCCTCCATTCCGAAATAGCAAGGAGATATTGCGCTGAAAGCGTATGTTGCAAGCGTATGTTTCAAGTGTTTCAGATGTTTCAAAGGTACGTTGCAAGTATTTTATGCGGATGTTGCAAAAGTAGATCAGGATGTTGCATACGTTGCAAGTGTTTCAGAGGCATGTTGCAAGAGTTTGTTTAAAATATTTCATCTATTTCAGACGTATGTTGCAAGCATTTCGATCTGGATGTTGCATATGTTTCACACATATATGTCGCAAGAGTATGTTCGAAATATTTCAGTCGTTTCAGTCTTATGTTCCAATAAGTGTTTCATGTTGAAAGTTGCAAGTACTTTATCTGGATATTGCATATGTGTTCACACACATGCTTTAAGTGTATGTTCTAAATATTTCATCTGCTTCAGACGCATGTTGCATAGTGTTTCATATTTCAAAGTTAGAGAGTCATGAGGCACGGCCCGAGCGCCGGGGTATGGGGCGCAGCGAGCCAGGACCGGCCGATGGGGCATGCTGGGGCTGGCGGTCTAGGTGTGCGGTGCACCTAGGGTCATGCGGACGGGGCGCGCTCGTCTAGTCGTCCTCATCCCTGCTCCTGGGTCCTGCCCGTGTAGAGAGAGGAGGGGTTCAGGGGAAGGAGCGCGCGGGGACGGCGGCCGGCACGAGAAGGAGGTGTGGCGCCTGGACTCGCGGAGAGAGAGGAGAGGGTAGGAGGAAGGAGCGGCGGACGCGGCGTTTCCACCGGCGTGCATGACGGAGGAGGCGCGAGCGTCCGGACACGCACTTCTATCCGGACGTTCGGGAGGATGATATAGATCTCCAACGTAGCAGTACGTCCAAGTAAGGGACATCCTTTGTAGTCAATAAGAATACCTGAAATTTGAGTATTAGTTCTATCTTCATCTCTAATGCGCTCTCTCTCACACACACTTATTACTAAAAACAGGGTGTTTCTTTCTCTGTCTCCGTCACTAGGGCCTACCGTTCGGTTTCTATACAACAGCATACTTTCAGACACGGTAAGAAGCGTGATTATTCTAAAATGAAGAGAAATACATACATGATACGACCGTAGGCACAGTGCTAAGTTCTAACCCAAGACAAATCAGAGCTTGTTTCCACCACCGCACCACGCGACGAGCCCCATCTCCGCCGATCGCACAGCCGTACGTGCCCCGTGGTGCTTGGATGCGCCACGAAGCTAGCTGGCCTGAGAGGAGGGCCGCGGTAGGATCCGCCGGTCCGAGGCAGGCAGGAGCCACCGATTCACAACCAGCAGCGGCGAGGCGAACATGCTCGTGGATATCCGCCTACTCTCTTCGATTCTTTAGGGCTTGCTCGCCTTTCCATGATTCGATCCTCTCGTCTCTTGCAGTGTGGTCTCAGGAGGTCTCAGGACCGGGAATAATAATCTGCAAAAGCCTGTGCCGCTCCACCTACGTACGTGGTACGTACCGGCTCTAGCTTGCTTGCCTCCCAACACGTACCGCCGTGTATCCTCCTATTCATTTCAGCCAGCCTGCATGCCTTTTGTTCTTTCTCCTCGTAGGTGGGCAGCGTCTAGACTCTAGACGGCGGCTGGACCAGGCATTGTCCCAAGGTATATCCTCAGTTGATTCGTGACATGAAAACAAGAGGGGGCCAGTTACCAAAGTCTTTCACTTGCTTTAGATCAAATTAATTTTCACACCTAGGCTCCAGCATGGCTAATTCGTGAGAAAAAAAGAGAAGATAATAGAAAGGCAGCAGTGGTGTTGCATGCATGCAAGAAAGGCCGTGTGGGTACTGTGCCATTGATCGGTAACAGGTTAGACCTCGTGATTAGGCTCTGTCCGTTTGTTTTGCATAGAAAACCTACATAAGTGCTAAATGGAACTGCAGCATCGATGTGTTGTGGAGTTGCTTGCATGCTTTCAGCAGCCATCCGAGAATACATGACAGATATATGTGCTAATTTGAGTACTTCTCTTGGAGGAAGGAGGGGCCATGGCCCACTATGGCCATAACGTGGCTCCGCCACTGCCGCCGTGTATCCTCCTATTCATTTCAGCCAGCCTGCATGCCTTTGTTCTTTCTCCTCGTAGGTGGGCAGCGTCTAGACTCTAGACGACGGCTGGACCAGGCATTGTCCCAAGGTATATCCTCAGTTGATTCCTCATCGTGTCTTCAGTTTGCAGCAGCAGAAGCGCCTTGCCACATTTCAGTAGCGAGTATAAATACCCCCGCACAGTGACCACTAATAACCTGTGCGCTTGCACATACATACACAGTAACACACGACACAGACCATTGGCTCCGACACTCAGATGTGCACCTGCATTGCTGGGCAACTTCTCCTTTGGCAGATGCGCAATGTGCTACTGCCAAAGGAAATTTGCCCCGGAATTCATCTGCACAGCCACACACGCGCGCGCATACACAAAAGCGAAAAGTTACAGTGTGGTTACAGGGTACTACGTACTGCGATGGTACAGCGAATGTATATATACGTATATTTGCACTTGTTCTATTCTATTATACATGTTTGACCTTTGTTCTGCACTTGGTGCTTGTCTTCTACAGGTTATCAACATAACCATATCTACTTACAAATGGAGCATGAGTGCAAGCTGTGAAGGCACTGCAAACCTCCATAATACGTACGTATCACCTCTACAAACAATGACACTGTACATTTAGCCGATAAGCCAGATGTGGTCAAATTAATGATGCCAAATGTTTCTCTGTTCCATGGACTAATCTTTGTTGCCCACTGCCTCCGGAAGTTTGTGTGTCGGAGGCCTGTCTGCGCCTCGTCTGGAGAACTCTCGCCACCGTCTAGCAGCAGCTGCCGCTCTCTTGGCCCTCTCTGATACCTCCTCCTCTGTCAGTACACATTATTAGAAACGATCAGATTTTTCAACAAGATAAGAGCTGATAGACGTACAGTCAGTACTCAGTAGATGTAGATTGCGTGTTTTAGATGTTGCAGATCAGTAACTAAGGTGCTTCTGAAAAAATATTTGTTTCTCGTACCATTACCGCTGCTTTGATCTTGTGGTGGGGATCCCCAGATGTCACTCCAAGAGCTTCTCATGTCTGAATTCTCTTGTTTCACCATCCGTGTTCTGACTTTTTCCTGCAAAATCACACAGATTTACAGTAAAAAAACATTTATATTTAAAATTTTCAAATAATTGTGTAAGGTGTACAAAGGAGTAGTACCAAGACTTTTGCTTGCCTCTTTTCCCAGCGAGCACTAGCCTACCACACATAGAAAATATATCAATACAATTTGACACTTAACAGCAACACAGACAGACAGTGTTATCTTTAGATGTAGAGGTCCAGAAGAAATTATACTAGTGTTAAATTTGTACTTTGATACCCTTGATATTCAATCCATGGTACAAACATATTGCTTTCGATGGTAAAATGCATCCAGGGTTCTTAAACTTTTTTGGGATTTTCACCAAGGTCCATAAACATTCAAAGTGAGGATTTGGGTCCTTATATTAAATGGTTTGCTCTAGGTTCACTTGGGGTCCAATTATGGATCCAGATTCTCACTTGGAGTGAACCACTTCAGAAGTTTTGAGAACTCAAAAGTTTAAGAAACCATAGGTGTATTTTACTCCACTTTTAATTTATCCAAACAGGGCGATTAAGTTAATATATGCATCCATTACAGAAAAAAAACTGAATATTGAGAACATGCCATGGAGTAATAAATTATATAAAGCACATAAGTTTACATGAACAAAGAGATAATTACCATGCGGAAAACATTGACTGAAGCTCCCATACCAGCAAGCATCAAACCAACCTGCTCAGTTATGAAATTTTGATTTACTGTACTGATGGTAGAATATCTTTTTTCTCGAACACGCAGGAGAGCTGCGTATCATTATATATTAAGAAGAAGACTGATGGTAGAATATCGAATAATATCACCAGATAATTCTTCAACTAAATTCATTATTACTGTATGCAGTACACTACTGTTATCTTGAAATGTATACTGACCGAAGAATTTGCTTGAGAATCGGCCATGACAAAAAAAAGCTACATAGATCACACAAATTTTAAAGTTCCATCTGATAGAAAGTCTACTTACATTCACCCTCTCTACTCTACGCATCTCATTCTCAAGGAGTGACAGTTGTGCAGCGGAAGTCCAGTGAATACAATCAACTGGACTGAGAATGATAACAGACAAAAGTTTAGCACAAATATTAGCATCTGCAGAACTTGAAGAACAACAGCAACATATTAACTAATTTCTTCTGAAATCTGAACATTTTGCAAGGCATTTCATAATTGGGTAACTACAAGACCTAACAACTGAATAAACTTTAAGATCATAAAAATTCTCACCAACTATCAATGGCATCCTGAATTAGCTCTGTGCTACCTGACTGGGAGTAGACTCTTGACCTCCCAAAATCTTCCTCAGTCTCAAAGACGCCAGGGCAGATATTGGCACAGTTTTTACATCCTACAATGTTGCATCCACAACAAACAAGATACTTGAATCATGCTCCTTACCCATAAGAAAACTTCTATTCACAAGAGAGGATCAATATACCAATGCAGGTAAACTCATCAACGAACACATGATCCTTGGGTGCATTGTCATCAAAGAAAGGGTTGATTGCTGTTGCTGTGTACCCATGGATCTCATCATACACTGCACGTTGTGCTGGATCACTCAACACCTGCTCTTGCACACCCCATGTTAGCTCGTGCAATGACAAATTTCAAAGCAATAACCAATAAGAAAACATCTTGCACGCAGCATGCATAAGTTTAAAACTCGATTGCAGACTCTTACCGAGTAAACCTCGTTGATGAACATACAGAAGTTAGTCACGTCAGGGGCGTTCCCACTAAGGTCAGGGTGGCACTCTTTCATGCAACCGTAGTATGCCTTCTTAATTTCCTCAGGGGTTGCATCTGGCATCTAATGGTAGAAGATTCAGGTGTTCCATATTAGCAGCAAATTTATTATCTCAAAGATAAATAAGATCAGTAATATTATCTGAACCTAGATATATAAAAAAATAAGTAAGCATTTTATTTTTGGAAAACTGGAAATAAAAGTTGCATTTTGATTCTTCCCCAAACCCTATAGAATGTTAACAAAATCACAAACATGTTACTACCAAGAGCAAAATAGTATAGTGATTACAAAGTGGTTTGGTCCAGAGAACTAATTCTTTCGTCTACCATCAAATTAAATAAGGTAAAGTAATTGCTAAATGGCAAACCAATGTTCCAGAGTATACTTACCACACCCAGAACGGAGTAGTAATCGTCGGCAATATCCTCCTCCTCCCTTTCATGATCCGCTTCCGTCGCAGTGGCACAGATCCTGAGATCCCTTCTCCGCGCACTCCAGCTCCCCTGCCGGTCGCCCCGTACGGCTCCGGCGAACCCGACGGTGGGCAGTTGCCGCGTGGGGCGGGAGCAGGGGAAAGACCGTGGCAGCTTCGCGAGTGCGTCGGCGAGCAGCGGCGGCGAGAGGAGAGGGGGCGCCATTGCCTAACGGATTTTAGAATGCGGCGTCCTCCAGCAAGATCGGAACTCCAACTAGGAGACGGCGGCGAGGGGTTTGCTTTTCTTCGCGGGACTGTACCATTTATACACTGTCCTCAGCAGCCACTAATTCTTCTGGTTCAGGTTTAACGGAGATCTGTTTTTGCATATTAGACCTTATACGGATTGATATTTATATATAAAGACCTTCTGCCACCTAAAGAACTTCCATTATTTTCCTTTTTCGACATATATCGTTGAAGAGGATGAGAGTTCAAAGCTAAGAGTTTGTTTTTTTATTTTGTGGCGGTGAGAGTTTTGGCGGAAAGGGGAATATATGAGTTTAGATGACCAAACTCACACTAATCAATCCCCTAAGGGAAGAATGGGAATTTTGCTTTTAATGAAACAAAGATGAATATATGGACTTGTTCTATTATTTTTCACTCAAAAACCACCACACCAAATAGAGCATGAATTCTTGTTTCAACTCTCTTTCCTATTTCTCTCCACGAACCAAACAAGAAAATTTGAACTAAAAATCAACTTCCCATTTTAATTCCCTCCTTTAACTCTCACCATTAATTCATATGTCTCCTCTCATGTAGTTGACAAATACACCTTTGATTAATAGAATTATATTACTCTTTAGAGGATAAATTAGGTAAACTAACAATATAAGTTATGTAACCCTCAATATCAAGCTATCCCTATGTGTGAGCCTTAGTCCCATGTGTTACTGAAATGAGGTGATGTGCTTGTTGATAGGGAGCACCTGCAATGACTTTGTTAATCTCGAAACATGACAACCTAATCTTCTGGATGTGTTCATGGAGATAAAATATGTGAGTGTGTCAGTAGAGGTAGGTATGCATGTGTGTAGGTAGACGTCAATGTCTGTGTTTTGAAAAAGGAAAAAAGACCGTGTGGTTTTCTACCACTCCATGCTAAACTTTTGAGCAACACCACATACACTGCATTTGGTTTCGCAAAAAAAAAAACTCCAAACACATTGTTCATCAAAGCTTATTAAATGTTGTGAATCTTGGTTGCGTGAAGAGAAAGAAGTACTCCCTTCATTCCAAAATAAATGGCATTCACACTTCCCGAGAAGTCAAATATTTATGGTGCATAATTAGTATTATTAGATAAATCGTTAGATATATCTTCATAATAAACTTATTTAGAGATATAAATGTTGCTAATATTTTATACAAACTTAGTCAAACTTAACAAAATTTGACCAGTAGGTATCCTATAGTTACACTTATTTTGGGATAGATGGAGCCCGATTTTGCCTTCGTGATACACATGCTCTCTCGGAGACTCGTAGTCGTACGGATAATCGGGTGATTTTGGCCCCAGGACGTTTTCAATTTGTACATAGATCGATCGATCACATAAATGTATACCCACTTGCTGTGACTTTGTTAATCTCAAAACCTACCAACCTAATTTTCTGGAGATGTTCATGGAGATAAAACACGTGAGTGCGTCAGTAGAGGTGGGTACGCATGTATGTAGGTAGACGTCAATGTCTGTCTTTTGAAAAAGAAAAAAGACCGTGTGGTTTTCTACCACTCCACGTTAAACTTTTGAGCCACACCACATGAATTGTCAACACCTAATTGTTTGTGTCTTTGTCTGTTCCACGGTTCTTTAGCTCCCAAACCCAGTGCACTTGGTTTCGCAAAAAAAAAAGCTCCAAACAGTAGGATTTATAACTTTTATACTAATGTTGATCAAAGATTCTTAAAAATATTGGGAATCTTGGTTGCGTTGAAGACAAAGAAGTACGGCGTTGCTTGGTGATACGCACATGCTCTTGCTCTCTCGGGAAATTATTTCGGAGGCTATAAGCCTAAAAATGCACAATTGTTTTTGGTTTGGTGGATGATTTCGAGCCAGTAGTGAACCGGGAGAGCGACATGCCGACGGCTGATCTGGCGATTTTGGCCGCCAGGACGTTCGATTTCTACATAGATGGATCATGGATGGATCGATCACGGCAGAGACGTGAAGCAAGCGCGGCAATTGCGTGGGGAGCTCTCCATTCTCTCCCGGTCCTCTCGCTCAGTGACAGTCACAGTCAGTCAGTCTTGCTTCACTTTTTTTTCTTTCAAAAAGTCACTCTTTTTTGTTTTACTGAGATTGAGATGAAAAAAGTCAGTCTTGCTTCACCGGCCTGTCGTTGTCCAATTTCTTCTACGTAGCTCTACGTCCTCGTCGTGCCGGAGAGTGAGAGAGGCCAAGCCGGCCAGGCAAACTGAGCCGGAGCTGGAGGGGCTGCGGACCCGCACACGCAGCCCATCCGCAGCCCTGGACCTATCAGGTCAGCGTCCGGATTGCTTCTTCGGCCCAGGAGAAAGCGCTTAGGCCCACAAGCAGACGCCAAACACCGGCGGGCCGGCGGGCAGCGGCATCGCCTACAAATCCGGCGGTTCTCGCAAGTTTTTGCCCAGGACACCTCGAGAGCCAACGCGGCAAAGATCTGACAGAATACAACGTTTTGATTCCACCACGATGATTCCGTTTAGCTTATGGACAATAACAGCTCCCGGTAAGTTTATATACTACATACATGCATGGTTAATAATTAAGAAACATCTCCAAATAAACTTTTTCACCATGTTACGCCTACCTACATGTATCGAGAGCATAATAACAAAACAAATTAATGAACACGAATAAACAACTTGCCACTGATCGACATCCCTGTGCCTGCGCTGATCTGCACACACTGGACCTAGCAGCGCCTTTCAATCAGTTGGGATGGTCTGGGTTTTCTTTGTTCCATGACAAGTAGTTAGGGTCTCCAAGGGCCCTGAAAAATGCGCAAAACATAGTTTGGTTGAAACAAATGTGTGCAACATCACCTGATGGAGATCGACACGACTTTAATTACCTTGGCTTAATCACGTAGAGGATGACGAAGCCCATGGCGAGGAAGAGGCAGATGCCGCCGATGGCGACGTACGCGACGCCGATGAAGTTGTTCCTGCCGCCGATCCACGACGTGGTGGACAGCACCAGCGCCTTCGTGCCCCCGAAGCTGTACGTGTTGTAGTTGTTCTGGATCACCACCGTGATCTCGTCGCTCGCCATTATGTCCGACTCGATCCTGCCGTACAGCTTCCTGAACGTCGGGAGGGCCGCGGTTCTCATCCAGACAATGAGGTCCTCCTGCTCACTCAGCTGAAAACAGAGATCAAAAGCAAGCGAAATCAGATCCAGGAGCAAATGAAACTCAGCTCGATCTCTGATGCATACTAATCAGAAGCTATATAGTTGATGCACTGCTAGCTTACTGGTATTTTCTCGTTCAGTTTAGCACCGCCGATCAGTCCCCCTTTCTGGAAATTGCTGGGGAAGACATCGCTGCCAAACTTTTTGTTCTTGTCGCTGTCCCAGGCAATGTTCTTCTTGTTCACCTCGACGGCCTTCTTGTTGAGAGAGAAGGAGTAGGTGTCGTTGAACAAGCTCCAAGCGATGAGACCGCAGGGCACGATGGGCGCGCCGCCGTCTTCACTGGTGGCTTCAGGCTCACAGTTTGTTATCGTGCTCGCAGCATCCTTGTACAGCAACTGCTTGTCGTTACGACTCTTCACGTACCTAGGGTTAACGTTACATTATGATAAGGATATACCGCATTCAGGCCGACAATGCATGCATGACCTGTTTGTGCGCCTGACGCGGAAAATCATTTGACAGAGTTTATATGCTGTAAAAAAAGCAGTAAGTTCTAGGGTTCACCATACCGGCGATGATTCTGATAGAAATTTTCAAGCTGATAGTATATGTGTATCGGCCCTTTCATTGGCTTTGGCACCTGAAAAATGATACGCCATTATCATTACTTACCATATGCTTAGTTTTTGCAAGCTACACAATCACAGTGAGATCGTAGCAAAGAAAAGAGGAGGAAGCCGCGAGGGTGACTAGCGGGGCGAAAAACACAAGATGAGAGGAGAGCGTGGGGAGTGGTGTGGAGAGACAGAGAGAGGGCTGAGGCACAAATTGCCAGTTGGGAAACCCTAGGCGGGTCTCCCCTGTATCGTCTGTTGCGACCTTGCGCCCATCCTAGCAGTTTAATGCCAGGTAATTTGATTATGTTTTGATAGAATCTTCTCAGCTCCTGTAAGTGCATCTAGCTCTTTAGTAGGTTTTGATGAATTGAATGATAACATAATTAAAGGTCTAGCAAGTTTGCTAAGTGTTGAATATAAAATTGAGTTTGTTGCATACACTTGTAGATTGTGGAATGAAAAGTGTATAAAGGTCAACAAGAAGACAAACTTGATATTTCACATAATGTTCAAATGAAGGCCAAAGTTGTGTATTGTTATAAATTGAAGCTTGATTGATCTCAACATTCATATCGAGAAGATATTCAAGCAAGGATCACAATATTGAAGAAATGGTTTTTCAGTGGATGCTTAATATGATGTGTCTTGAGTATGGCTCGATATGGTGACGATAGCAAAGAAAGAGTTTTGAGGGACTAAGCGAAGGTGAATGGTAAGCAATGGCTTCGAGACCGAGGTACCATGGCTAAGGTGAAGAAGTGAATACTTACATTGAGTCGAGGTACTAATCGAGCTATGAGGAGTTATATTGTGTTGAGGATCAAATCATTAGTGGAAGTGAGTTGAAGCCATGGATTGAACTCACATGTGTTGAAATGATTTAAGTCACGTGCTCAAGGTGTGTATGATCAAAGAGAGGAGACAAAGTTGATTGCAACCCCTTATGAAGTGATATTGAGAAGAAGTGGCGTATGAAGACATTGAAGGCTCAAGTGGTACGGTTAAAATGGTTATATCCTTTTGATCTTGAGTTTAGGTTATGCCGCACTATAAAGAGGGTTGCAAACCTAGGTGGTCTAAGGAAGATAAAGTGCTCAAGTATTTAATTAAAATCAATTGAGAGACACTATATCACACACAAGCACTTAGAAATAGGGTTAGTTTTTCTGTGCCTGCCGGTATTACCGACACGGGTTGGTAGTACCGGTAGGTGGTGCCATCCTCTGATTAGCGCACCCACTGTCGGTAGTACTGATTTGGACCGATAGTACCGACGGGACCTGTTCCTCAGCCTCGCCTAGTACCGGTAGTACTAATGTTAGTCAGTAGTACCGACGGCTCTTTGAATGGCTATTTTTTCTTTGAGGCATAAATACCTCTCCCCTCTCTTCTAGCTGTTACCTACTCATTCACTCACGCCCCCAACTTTAGAAAAGCGCCTCCTTTCTCTCCAAAGCTCCTCTCTTCTCTCCCCTTTCCTTCTAGCTCCAAATCTTGCAAGGATTTGAGTTGAGAGAAGGGATTTGGTGAGAGAAACATCGATTCAAAGCTTGAGCACTTGATTTTTTTCGTCAAGCCGGTTGGATTTGCATTTGTTACTCTTGGGGCTTTGCCCCTAGCCGGCTAGGCATCGCCCAAGAGCTCCCGATCTGTGGGAGAACCTTAGAAAGTTTGTATCACCCCTGATTTTCTAGTGAAGAACTCAAGTTTACCTTTATGGTGGCTTGAGAGAGGTAAAAAGGTGAAAGAGACTCCGACCTTAGTGGTCACCTCAACAACGTGGAGGTAGGCAAGCCTTAGTGGCGAGCTGAACCATGAGATAAACACCTTGTCTCTCTTGTGTTCTTGCTTTGTATTGCTCTATACTTGTTTGTTGGAAATTTCTAGGGTTTGGTCCCAATTTACAAAGTGGAGGTCCCGATCTACAAATTCGAGGTGGTACAAGGGCAAGGGAGTACCACATCACCTTCATCTACATCTTAGGAAGTGAGGTAAAACTCAGATCTAAATTTGGAGCTCTTTATCTCAAATTTTGTAGCTTCCCTATAGGGGTCGGTACTACCGGTTAAAGTAAGTACTACCGACAGTTGTTGACTTACTGTGTTGAGTTTGTGTTGAAGATTTTTTCTAGGCCTACTCACCCCCCTCTAGGCGACATCAAGGTCCTTTCAGCGCCCCTAGTGCCCTCCTTCAGAGCACCTTCCCTGCTCACTGTTGCCACCTCTCCACCACCGCCATTGTTGTGGACGGCAGGGTTGTTGTATCCCCCTTGTGAATATAGATTTAGGGCCGGGCGTCCTCCATCTACCACTACAAATGGTGCTTCCAAGGTATAGCCTCATCTTGGTCGCCGCTTGTCTCATGACATCATCCATGGACTCTGCTATCCGCCATGGTTGAGGTTGCCAAGGCAATGGTCCATTTTTCCACCATGGCCATCACCCCTTTTCTCGCTAGTTGTTCCATCTCGTCTAGCTTGTGAGATTGGGTTGGAGATCAACATGGAGGCCGCCTTTCGTCTCAACACCGCACAAGAAAGCAAGTCGTTGTTGGTCGCCAAAGTCCAACTTTGCAAGGAGCTAGAGGCCTTCTTGGACGCGACCATGCATTCACAAGTTGTTGTGGCTCCATGCCTTGCTAAGGAGGTTCCCATTGATTAATGCACTCATCAACGTGCCATAACCGCTATCTTCAGTGTCGTCCTCGACACCCTCAATTCCTCTGCGTCACCCAAAAAGATCATCTCTGGTTATTTAGGATTAGGGTTGCTATGGCTTGGCGATAGCTCCACCTCCTCCTGGTCGTTAGGTTGCCTTCCCACACCTGATGCTCAATTGCAAATCTCATTGGAGGTGTCCACCACTGGTTAGGTTGCACTTAGTGAAGATTGCCATTTGGATTCCATTGGGTTAGATGGAATTATTGGCAGCTCTATGCCAAATCATGGATGTTTCTCCTAGTCATCGACCGCAGAAGGTGGCCGCTCTTTGCATTGTTCCCTTGGCTTCCATTGTCACAACAAGTTACCACCTAGGGCATCCTAGGGGCTTCTTCTGCTAGTTTTTACCCCTTTGTCATGGTCACCAGTCGTGGTGGTTAGAACTCGTATTCAGGTCAACATAATTATTATCGATAAGAGTAACAAGTGATTTGTTATTCGGTCATGGTGAGCATTGACTCCACTATGTAGGATGTCAAGAAGTGCTTGAAGAAGCTGATTGGACATTGCCTAAGTGCTCATCTGGCTGCCAAGTGCCAAGGATGCATCATCGACTACAAGTCTAAATGATTTGAAAGGGATGCCCCCTAGGCATGTTGTTGACGGGATGTTTGGAGGTCTAGCTAGTTTGAAGTTTTAATTTGCTTTGTGAGGGTTTGATCGTGGGTCGCGCTTGATACCACGAGTAGTAGCCCTTCGTGTATGCCGTAGGTCGTTGGTCGTTTTTGTAACGTTTTATGTAATAGCCTTCTAACTTTTTACCTACACCAAGACGGTTAGCCGTGCCCTAGGATCTAGTCATTGTACACCCATCTTCCTCTTAATAAAACACGTGCTCAGACATATTTACGGAAAAAGAAATGGATTCAGGCTATCATATACATGTATCAAGTGGCATATATAAACCCACATTCCAATGACATACTCACAGTGATCTTTCTTGTGCACGCTTTGTCAGTCTTGGTATCCTGAATGAACCCGACCTTGTCGTTCGCGGATACGCACTCGGCATCATATCGATCTATCAACTCAACAGTCTGTGTGCAAATCAGGTTATTAACAGAGGATCGGGCCAAGTGCATCTCATAGTGTTGCAATTTTGGTTTCATATATACTGAAAACGTGAAAGCCGCATACATTCTGTGATGCAGCCAGCGAGGCGAGGCCAATTGGGACGAAGATGACGCCGATGAGCGAGAAAGCGCCAATGACCTAGCCAATGCATATATATATTCAGGTTAGGAGAGAGAGAGAGAGCACTGCACATGGTTAGAGTAAAGAATTTTATTTGGAATCACAGAAGATGGCATGCGTACAATTCCAGGAGTTAATAGTGGCTTGCATGCTGGAAGCTCCTGCTGGGTAAACTTAGAATCTGCTCACATCGAAGACGAAGAGACTATTCAATTGCAGAAACATGCATGCATCAATCCCCCAAGACATATATTATTAGTCATATGCCATTCGAAATGTTATTAAAATTTGACAGTAATTGCTAGTGACCAGTAAGTCTTTAAATGGGAACCTAGCTACACCATGGCGCACATGAAAACAAAAGGACAATTTGAAATTTGATCCCCCATAACAATTCGAAGCGTATGACAGCGACAGATCAAACTGAGAGAACAGATGCAATTATGCAAAGGAGGAAGGACAGCAACCGCATACACTTGGGTTTCTTGGACCGCCGCGAGGCCAAGGAGTCGCTCTCCGATGCTGGCAAACTCATCTGCGCAAGCAACAACCACATCGGCGGCGGTCAAAGCATGCACGATCGAATTCGAGGACGGACACATCGCCTCCTCTGAATCCTGACCACAGACGCTACATGCATTTCCACGATCGAGGCCCAAGAACACGTACGACAACGCAAGATGGCGGTCCGGTTCCGGTCGCGAGCGATCGACGTCGATCTCTGCCGGCCGGCCGGATTGAGGAAACTGGACGAGGAGGGTGAGGAGGGTTCGTCTCTCGTTCGTTCGTCCGCTGCGAGGAGAACAGGTTCGTCACGCGGTCCCGTCCCGTTCCGTCCCTATCCCGGGGGCTTGGCGCTTGAATGGCGGAAACTCCCCTCGCGCCGCCACGTCGGGCGTGGATCTCAGCCGTCCAGTGAGCGATCACGCAAGCCGAGCGTTGGCAGCAAAACTTGGCTCAAAGATATATTTAGGCTTAATTATTAATGCTGTTGGTCAGGACGATGTTTTTTGCATGCTGAGTTTATAATATATGCATGGCTTCACGGCGAAAATAGTTGGAGATGCAAGTATCCGTTTTTTTTTTCCTACGCATCTCTCGCGAGAAGCTGTGCAGAAAAGTCGCACTCTGTCAGGTCTAGCTGTGACACGTTTTTGCTCAAAGGAAAAATAAGATTAGGAGTAGGTTTATCAACAAAGTCTCTGTCTCTATCTCTACTCTACTGAATATTAAAAAGTGAAGCTTTTGTTCCTAGTCGTTTCGTTATTCCTAAAATACGTAGGTTTATCATTAAAGTCTCTATCTCTATCTCTTCTCTACCGAATATTAAATGTGAAGCGTTGGTTCGACCGTCTGAAGTTTGGTTTCCTTTTTTTTTCTTTGGCTCCTGTTGACAACCAAAATATCACCAGGAGTTGAAGATGAAATAAGAAAATCACACGCAAAGATCAAAAGAGGTTGATACTTAGCATGGTCGATGCAATTGCAAACTTACCTGAAATAGGCCAAGGAATCTACTTGAATTAACTAGAGAATCTCTAACAGACTTACCTTGGCCTATTTCAAGAAGATTCTAGAAGTGGTTTTACAGACTTACCTTGGCCTATTTCAAGTAGATTCAAGAAGTGGTTTTATAGAGATTCTCTAGTTAATTCAAGTAGGCCCCGTTCGCTTCGCTGAAAAAACAAGTCGAAACACTGTTCCGGCTGATTTGTTGTACGAGGAAATCACTGTTCCGGCTGTAAAAACAAGCTGAAAAGTACGGATTATAAGAGAAGCGAATAGGGCCGTAGATTCCAGAAGGAGTCCGGTAATGGGGTTAGGACGATGGACTCAACCAGCCTGTTCGCTTGTTGGTTTCAGTCAGGGCTTATCAACCAGCCAATATTGTTTTTCTCTCACAACAAACCAGTACCAACTGAGCTTATCAGCCTAGAAACCAACCAGCGAATAGGCTAAACGTGTTTATGTGGTTGATATGATGTCAGCATGCAAGGATTTTTTATTGAGTCTCCACCGAGAGTACGTCCTGTTTGGCATGGCTTTACTGAAACCGTTTTTTTTTCTTCAGCTCCATGAACAGCTTTATCGGTGGAGCTGGAGTCGTTTTGTTAAATCGTTTGGCAAAATGGTTCCACATGTAGAATTTCTTAAAATATGCTCTCACCACGAGACCCAATGTAGGACCCACCAGGACGAGGTGAAGTCGGGTGAAACCACTATTTTTGTTCATCCCACCTCAAATCTCTGTGAGAATACGATTTAAGAGGCTTCCTAGGTGAAGCCATTTTATTTTCCTCATTTGGCAGAAAAAGGGCCCAAACGACTCTTGAAGTCAGTGGAGAAGCCATGCCAAACGTGACATAGATCTAAGAAAATCTAGTCGATCCTGGCCTGAGCCCGTCAAACTTGCTCCGGCCTGCGAGCCTTAGTGAACAAGACCTAGATATAGGTTCAACGGTCTAAAAAATACTCTCAGCCTGAGCCCAACTCGAAATATTTATTTTAATTACTCTCACTGAAAATGCATAGGCAGCCCACCCAGGCTCGGCTCATCCAGTGGAATGGTCATGAGCATGATTATTTCGACCCAAAATAGCCAAACTTTTTCGGTCGGTCTTAGCCTGCAATATGCTCAAGTCTAATCAACACGAATTTTTAGTAGATGTATTGGAAAGACTAGCCAGCCTATATATAAACTAAGGGTGATGGCCAATCAACCACACGCAATCGAATCTATCAATATATTATTAGCTTTTATCATATCTTTTATCTAGAAAAAATTCTCTATTTGACACTACAAAACATCTCCTTCCTATTTGATATCAAAACTTAATAAAATCTTCCTTATCTATCATCACTTATTTCGTCTTTTGTTCTCCAAACACTACCGTCACTTTTTTGTTGTAACGACATTAAGTCCATCGCAAAAAGACCATGTTGCCCCTCCCGTGTGAATGCTAAGAAGATAAGCAGCTAAAATACCAGGGAAAAAACATCTACAAATAAATAAATGAGACAAAAAATATATATGTAGCAACATGCATCAACTTGAACACAACACGCCCTGATGGAAGTGTGGATTATGGACAAAAGATGAACTGACTGACAGATAGGAAACATTTTAAGTTCCAATGTCAATAAAGAAGGATAAAATTTTCTAGTGCAGGGAATTTTCTCTATCCTTAAACCTTATCGTGGTTTTCATTCTTCGTTGTCTCTTACAATGCCCTGGAGCGGTTAGGTCACTTAGGACAGTCCATAGCCGCTGCTAGGGTATGTTGGTTCTTTCTTTCTTTCTTTCTTTCTTTCTTTTTTTCTTTTTTTTGAGAGGAGGGTATGTTGTTTCTAATCTAAAGAGACCTTGATGGCGCGTGTTGTCTGTTGTGTACATATATATGGCGCTCCAGGCGAAACGACTCCTAATTCTCACCGTATTCGTATGAAGACTTGTTCGTGCGCGAACACCCAGCCAAATTAAACTGAGCCGCGAACGTACCAGAGCGTGCGCAATGTGCTCCGTTCCACTTCCACCCCGGTGCGTCTGCATGGCAAGTGTGAAGCGAATGGAGCGCTGTGGAGCTGCAGCCTGCAGGCCTGCGAGTCTGCAACTGGAGAGACAGGGACATGTCGTCCGAGGTTCAGCGCCGACGGTTCAGAGCTGTTGGCGTCGTGATCGTGAATCGACTGCTCTGGATTTTTCGGAGGAAGTTACTGGCTATAGCGCGCAACACGGAGGATCTCTTAAAAGGAATCCTTCTACCAAACAGCGGGCGCCCAATAGGGCCACGTCACCCGTTAGCCCGGTAACGGTTGGATCGAGGCAGCTCGCGAGGGCCGTTCGATCCAATCGGTTCGGGTCCTACCCGCTTCGAAACGGACCCGAAACCTCACGAAGTCTCACAACCCAAAAACTCGTAGCCTTCGCCTCGGGCCACCCGGCGCGCGACTCATCAGGTCGCCGCCTCCTCCTTCCTCCTCCGCGCGCCGCCGATGGACGTCGTCGACCAGCCACCGCGCGCGGAGGCCACGGCTCCCGCTCCCGTGCCCGCGCTGGAGCGGAGCACAGCATCGACTGGATCCCGAATTACGCGCACCGCATCCTGCACCACCTCGCCGGCGATCTCTGGGGCAGTGAGATGGACCCTAGCGCGATCGTCGATCAAGGGCGCCATGACCCACGACGTCTTCCGCATCACCTCGCTCAGCATACACGTTTTTCTTTGTGCGATACAAGATTAAACTGGTTCAAAAATCTAAGCAGGCAACGGTAATAGTTCCAAGGATATTATTGGTTTACGCAAGATTTATTTAGTTTACTATTTCCTTCCAATTATATTTTACACAACAGTAATAGAAATGTTCGCATGAATGACTACTGTCTTTCAATTATATTTAGAAGAAATTCATTGATTGCACTATAAACTTTATCTTTCCAATTGAATTCTACAGGAGTCAATAAAGGTAGTAATATTGTAAAAATACCTTTCTGAAGCAACACTTGCATTCGTGTCAGAGTAGCAACACGTTTTCTCAAGATACATAAAGTCCAGATTGTTGAGAAGTACTATGCAAGTTAACACTTGTTTTTTCTTATGCAACTGTCTCAGACAGTTATTGCTGAAGCAAACATTGTTATGAGAAAACTTAGCATGCTGGTTCATTATTTGATCTACTCAAAATAATTAAATGCATAGCCTCACCATTCTTAAAGTGGGAATACATGTAGGATGCTCTTGTGGTGCAACCTTTTTTTTTTTTGAATCGGTAGAGATGAACACCACAAATATTTTTGTTTTCATTTTCAAGCATCATAAGCTAGTAACTTTAGATGGAACATGTGAAACTACCCCAACTCTTGTAAGCAATATTCAACTGGAGAAGGTACATTGGTATATGTGTCCTGCCTTTTCTTGCATAACTGTTTCTGGAAAATACATATTAGTACTCAAGACATTCTCCAAAAATGTCAACAACTTTCTTAGAGATATGAAAAAGAAGAAAGGACATCTTCACTGCTAGCTACGTAAATAGAGGCAACCTTCTTGGGCCGTTCGGATGGTACGAAGTTCAGCCGGAATTCATTATTCCCGGCTGAAAAACAATGTTCACTCTCTCACAGATTCCTCCAGATTTATGTAGATTTCTCTAAATTCCTCGCAGCAAACAGGACCTTTTATGACTCATCGCTGTTTATTCGAGATTATCTTTGGATTTCACTTCAGTCCTTTGCAGTAACTATTCATTCCACGTTCAGATCTCTTTCATTGACGACAAGACCATACTATCTCAGTTTGTTCAGCGAGCAGTGAATGAGATGGCAAACTCTGTTTGTTGAGTGCTTTCACTTGGATCCCATTCAAAGCAAAGTTCACTCAGTTCAGAAAAAACATAAGAATCTCAGTGAAATCCATACTTCCAAAATACTCTTACTGATGAAACATATACGAACTAATTCACTCTGAATAAAGGAAGAAGAAATATTCCTGTTAACAATCTCTACTCTTTACTATAATCCAATTGTATCAGCCGATGCAATAAATTGGTGCGTTTAAAGATAGCCAGAAAATTAGAGTACTCTTTACAAAAGTAAAGCATCAACGACATATATAAAAAATTCCAATGGGCTGGGCAGCTGGCCTCCTCCAAGCTGGGAGCGGCAATGCCGCGCCGGTGTTTCTAGTGGAGGTTGGATCATGCTTAGCCATCGCTTCATTTAACCCTAGCCGTCCGAGTGTTGATGCAATGGCAGTCGTTCTCCAAGTTCCTCTCTCTCTCTCTCTCATGAATATTAGAGAGGATCTTGACTTCTTGAGCGATAGCAGTTTCGTGAAGTTTTTTTGTTTTAAAAAGTGAAAAGCAGAAAGGATCTTGGGCCACGCAATGAGTAGTCTTGGTCTCTTGGCATATTCTCTGCGAAGCTGATTGAGTTATCCTGTGATAAACTAAAGACCTAATCAACGATGCAAATAAAATGGCCATTTGCTGAACTTTGTGAACCATTGTTTTCCCATGCTTCCTTCCCTTTTGCAAATCTATCGCGGTCGGCCATGATGACATAAAAAAAAAGAAATATCTAGTGAACAACCGGTTGTTTTATCCCCTCCTATTAACCAAAATTTTCTCATACACTTACACTGTCTTATAGCTATATTTACATTGTTTTATTATTATATTTACAATGATTTCTTCAGTGTATTTTATTGGAAAGAGTGATGTAATTTAGGAATAACACAATATATGCCAAATTTTTCAAAAAGATTTACAAATTATTTCTATGAATTTCAGACATCAGAGAAATATATATCAAATTATTCACAAATTCTTCATAAATTAAAAAAAAAATCCACACAAGGAGGTGAGAGAGGAGAGATTGTCGCAGGGTGTTTCGTGCTCGTGTTCGTGTGTCAGGCAGGGACACAGGCACCGGCATGATTGCTTGCTTGACGCTAAAGCCGAGCGGACGCACGCACAGTGACGCATCGCACGCACGCACGCGCCAGCATGATCGCAGGCGGGGGGAGGCCGACGCTTCCGCATCGCACGGCCCAGAAAACGGTTGCCCAAATCAACCGGTTGATCATTAGCCTTTCCGTAAAAAAAACCACGTCTTATACCCTATATAAAAAGGGAATTAAAAACAAGGTGTATACTAAGTCAGACGATGCATGAGGCGAGGAACGAATATGCCATTTCCACGAGGACGACTGACTGCATTGGCTTGCACGAGGACGCGATAGAGCAGATGGAAACAGAGAAGAAGAAGAACGAACACAGCAATGGCCGGATGCATGTTTAATCCTGGCCGCTCTCTCCCTCCCGGCCCTGCAATGCATTCTCGAGTCAGATTTGGCCTCCCTTTCGCTGGCCGCCGTCTGTTTCGCCCGCGATTCCTTCGGTTTTTTCCCCATGGCAACCGGTGGCTAGCACATGCCGACATCCCGATTCGCAGCTGCTGGCTAGGTTACTTACTCGTGATCCTCCTCTCCTTATAGGTCAATAACTCCGTCGCTGACGCACACGTGCCCACACGAGTGTTTAGTGTTTAACTGTTTATATATTCATTTTCAGCAATCAGCACTAGTACACTACTAGTATACTATACAGACACTGTAAAGTCCATCAATATTTTTTTTTTGAGAAGTCGTCTCATACTTAACTGAGGATTCGCGCAAGCTTTGTACTGAAGATGCTGCATGTTTGCCAAATGTAGTTTGGTTAGAACACTTCACCTAAAAAGTAATCAGTTACACGTTCCAACGAACTGCCCATGTTGTTATCTCTAATAACAAAAGAACTCGTTAGTCAGACGGTTGACATGTTCAGATTGGAAGCGGTGGTACATAGAGATGGTTCGATTGAACTTATCACAATAAATCACTGCACAATACTTTTCAGCCTTAACTTTTCGTCGAAAAGAACAGTCATCACCTCTGAATCGGCCGTCCGTTAAAAAAGAACACCGGGAATTCCACTTCGGCAGCTTTAACAGTAGAGCGGAATTTTATAACGTATAACATGTCTACATACAGAATTCTCCTGCTTTGGTATGGTACTACGGAAAGACATGAGCGGAAAAGTTGAGAACCCAACTGCCGTCTGTAGAGAAAGATACTAGTTTGGTGGCCGGCAGTTAGTCGCTAAGAGTTCTCCACCGGAGACGAGGAATCTCCCCGTGCCGCGGGCCTATAAATTGAGCGCGGCGCTCGGCCCCATCGCCACCAGCAAAGCAGCCCATCATCAAAGCCTGTCTGAGCAACGAAGCAGGTGCCGTGCCGCCGACTATAAGCAGTGCAGGCCGAGCGCCACTCTTCCAAGTTCCAACGAGAGCAGAGCAAGCAACGCCGACCGGCCACCACCTCAAGGTCGGCCAATACTACTCCAATCCAATGGGTTCACGCGGCGGTAGTATCGGCGGCAAGGCGCCCGAGTCGTCGTCGTCGCTGCGGGCCGCGTGGGCGTGCCTTGCCCTGTGCCTGCTCCTGCTGCTGTCTCGCTGCTCGCCATGCGAGGGCCGCAAGCTGCTGGCGGAGGCCGAAGAGGAAGGCGGCAAGGTGATGTACTTCGAGGGTGGCCTGGTGCTCAGAGTGCCACCGCCACCGAGTGTCGTCGGCGGCGGCGAGGAGCCCGCGGCGGTGCCGAGGGGGTTCGCGGCCACCGGCAGGGCGGCGCGGTTGATGCGGTCGGTGCCCAGTCCTGGCGTCGGGCACTAGCCTCAGTTCACTGCCTGATGCTCGTTAACCAGTGTGCAGCAGCCGTGCTGGGACTCCGGCGCGATCGATTTCTTTGCTCTCGCTACTGCTACCTTTACGTTTTCTTTTCTTTTTTTCCAGTTCTTGAGATAAAACAAAGCACGACAATGACACATGCATCCAAAATGTTGAAAGAGTCGAATAAGGTGTACGTGCTTGTGCATGGCCAAGCTGAAAACAGTGCAAAAGTCCATGACTGTAACTGTAAAAAGTGTAACGCGATGCACTAGATAACGCTGCTACAACGTCGTCGTCAAAGCTCCCCTGTCGTGCCAGTTGCGCCGGTCAGGTGTTCGGTAGCGTTGTGCTCGGCACTTGCCATCGCTTCTCTTTGATGTCTCGGCCGCTTAGCGACCGATTTTTTTTTTATTTTTTTAGCTTTTTTTTGAAAAAATTTTACAAATATATCCGTGAGGTAAAATTTTAAAATCTGAACCCTTAACTCGACGTCAGCGTTTCTGACGTCGAGCTTATACGTCTCGGCGTCATCGTTGCTAGCGTCGAGTTCTTAGGCTAGATGCAGACATGGTGGTGACATGATAGGCAGTTCGACGCCTTAGATCTTGACGTCGAGCTCGGCGTCATAGATCTTGACGCCATAGATTTTGGCGCCGAGCTCGGCGCCGTACTTACTGGGTCTTGCGGCGGCGGCGGCGGCACGGGACGAGAGCTTGACTTGGGAGTGCAGCGCCACGACGACTTCTCGTGGAACGGCAGCCAGCACTGCGCAGGGAGTCTATCGGTCTGGTATTCTTAAGGCGTGGTGACTGGTGAGGGGATCATGGGAAGGGGGTGACCGGCGAGTAGCGCGCGCGACGTTCGCTTTATTGTTATTTATTTTTCTAAAAAGAGACGGCGACGCCTGCGTGCGGACTGCGGACCGTTTGTTGACTGCCCTGCGCTGCGTCCTCGGCGGAGGCGCGGGAGCCGGCGTCGCGCGCGTAAAAGCGTCGTCGTCCCCTGGCCACCGGCCGCGGAGCGCGACGTGCGGGGAGGCCCGTGAGGACGGACATGGACATGGATCGGCATCGGGCATCGGGCATCGGCAAGTGTGGACCGAGAGACGCGGACACCGCGTGGTTAGGCCGGACGATTGGCGCCTACAGTAGCTTATACTACTACTATTTTTTCTTTATTATCGGGGCAAGTCACGCTGTCGATTGTCCTCCGTTGTTAGGGGCCGTTTGTTTCTCTCTTCTAAATTATTTTAGTCGTTGTTCTCATTAAATGTTTGACATATGTATAGAATATTAAATATAGATTAATTATGAAACTAATTACATAGTCTATGACTAATTTGCGAGATGAATCTTTTAAGTCTAATTAGTTTATGATTTGACAATGTGGTGCTACCGTAAATATATGCTAATAACGGATTAATTATGTTTAAAAAACTCATCTCATAGAGTACTGACGGGTTATATAATTTATTTTTTTATTAGTATCCGAATATCCCATATAATATTTTTCCAACGCACTTTCTAAATTTTAGTCATCGATCAAACACCTTAATTCATTTGGCGCCGAGGCAGGCGCGCGGTTCGTGGCGTCCAATCCAGCGATGCCAGGCCAAATGTGATTGTGATGGGGGAGTAGCTAGCTGATTGACGTGCGGGTGACCCATACCCGTGCCTCCGACGACTTGCAATTGCAATCGGTCCTCGGTCCTCCCTGCTGTGGTTTTCGGCCGGGACACCTCATGTCTGCCCGAAAGTACGGAGTACTCATTACTATTAAGGCCGTGATTAGTTCCAAAAAAATTTCCCAAACAATACTACAGTAGCCATTACATCGAATTTTACGATACGTACATAGAGCATTAAATGTAGACGAAAAAAAGCTAATTACACAGTTTAGTTGGAAATTGCGAGACGAATATTTTGAGCCTAATTAGTCCATAATTAAATACTAATTGCCAAATAAAAACGAAAATACTATAGTACTCCAATTTTTAAAATTTAACCAACTAAACAAGCCTAATTACTGGAGTAGTATTTGCTACTGGCCTACCGCTACTGCTAGTCTTCAACGGTTGAGGTCTAGGCTATATACCGAGACTGGCTGTGTCGTTGGCTGTATTATATTACAGCTGCAGCATCTATTCTTTTGACTACGGAGTGTGGCAGCCATCTCTTAGCACTCCTATCAATAATATCTTCTTCGTTTTAGATTAGATATACTATACGAGCCGTTGTCTCTCGTTCGGTTTACCCCATATTCGATTAGTTTGGTTTATTTTTTTAACCGAAATAGTATTTTTCTCTCACAACAATTCAGCCAGAACAGTATTTTTCACCTAAAATTCTGCCGGCCGAACGGGACCCAAAAGTCTCTCCCTTCTCTCTACAGTTGGTTGGACTTGGACTGTTACTGTACCTACTACTGCACTTGCATCGCCCATGATGTCATACGTAGGACAGGCTTGGCGTCGTTAAGCACGGCGTCGGGCTCGGCGCCAAGATCTATGGCGTCGAGCTACCTATCATGTGTCCGCACATCGCGTCTGCGTCTAGCCTAAGAGCTCGGCGTCGGCAACGACGATGGTGCCGAGCGATGTAAGCTTCGGCGAAGTAATAATGATGGCGCCGAAAGCTAAGGGTCCAGATTTTGAAATCTTACCTCCAGGGTATATTTATAAAAATTAAAAAAAGGCTAAAAAAAAAAAAAAAAATCGGGCTCAGCAACGGTGCCCACCTTTTTGGCGTTATTTTGGCACGGTGTGCTAAAAATTGGTGTCTTGTTCCTGGGTGAATAGACACACGTGCTATACTGTGAGACGGCACACCCACTGTACAGGCAGAGACAATACACGATCAGGACAGGCCCAAGATATGACATCGCCGTGCGCATCACTAAGAGCAGATGTTCATAAGCCCTTTTCACTTCATATCCGCTGTATACAGTGGTGCGATGGCTCGGCTTAATACATCTTAGATCTCGTTTGGTATGCCTTTTCCACCAGCTCAATGAGCTTTTGGAGCTATTTTATGCTAAACAGCGTAAAATGTAATAACTCTAGTTGATGAGCTTCTTAAAACATGCTCTTCCAAAGGGTGGATAAGAGATGGAGCTGAAATAGTAGCTTCTCCTAGCTCCCACTGAGTCTGATGGATCTAGCGTAGAATTTTGCGAAGCTTCACTTTGATGGATCTAGCGTAGAATTTTGCGAGAGCTTATTTTGTGCATGAAGGATTTTGTTGGCGCTATAACCACACTCTCTCCACTCTAAGAGGATTGGGGATCGCTTTCTCGCGCAACAGACTTTATGGGTGGTTAGGCGATCAATTTTTTTTTTCTAGTGAGCCAATCCCACTCTTATCTCCTTCATGTGTAGTAAACATTCAGCCTATTCGGGAGGCCGTATCGTATCGTGGATTATTTACTGCTGGCTGGTTTGGTGTGAGAGAAAAACACTATTCCCGGCTGGAAATTTACGATCGTTTACGAGCAAGCGAACAGGCTGATTGTTGTGACCATCAGCCTGTTCGCTTGTTGGTTTCAGCCAGTCCAAACCAGCCAGCCAACAGTGTTTTCCTCTCACAAAAAACCAGCACCAGCCAACCCAAACCAGCACCAGCACCCACCAGCGAACAGGCCCCATATCTAATTCCGCTAGGGATGGGTCCCACCTCTAATGCCATCTGAGACATATACATTGCGCCTGCCCTAACTGAATAGACAAGCAATCATGTTGTCACATAATACAGTCTTGTTGACGTGACTGGTGTTGTCATGGAGGAAGGAGGCACAAGGTGATGCACTCCCATGGTTATGGTGACGACAACGGATTAGTAGCACGACTATATGATTAAAAAAATGGATCTAAGTATGACCAGAGAAAACTCTAGGTTGTGACCAATGCACGGACCGACAGCATAACATTAATCTTCGGGTTCTCAACCCCCTACTGGAGAGATTATGGACATCAATCTCCCTAAGTGCAGCCAATGCGAAAGCATGGATATAGCATCTCAAGTGCAGTGTAGTCTCTCCACAGGTCCGCAAGGATTTGGCTTAAGCCACCTTACTCCACCTGGCCCGTCGAATGTTGAGTCAGATGACAAGGACCCCTACAATCAGATCGCAAGGGTCGATGCCCATCCAGAGAGAGCACCCTTGAAAACTACATGGTAATATGTTGTACAACCTTGCCTTCAATCTCTCCTGGTTTTGATATTTCATATGTAAGGTAATTTTAGTAAATACAACACTTGTCTAATAGGAAAGTCGGCTTGCATGACTTTCAAATGATGCCGGTGTTGCCCTGGCATGTGCTGCACAAGTATGAATATGCACTTGTATAAGTAGATCTTTAACGCGTAATGAAAAGGGCCTGCCTCCGCTTTCCCACGTGTCCCAACGACGAATAATGACATCATTTGTGGTTCTTCACAAGCGCCAGTAGAGAAACGACCTTTGATCCCACCTTGAAATTTGGCTTTAGTCTCGGTATTTTTCGCGTCCGGGACTAGAGAGACCTTTAGTCCTGGTCTGTAGCTCCAACCAGGACTACAGGTCTCTGCCCACGGCTACTGCGGCAGACTTTTGCTGCAGGGAACCTTTAGCCCCGGTTAGAGCTACCAACCGGGACTAAAGGTTAACTTTTACTCCCGGTTGATCTCTCCAACCGGGAGTAAAAGTCTACTCCCGGCTCGGAAGGCCCACCTCGGATCCTTATCCTCCGCTCGGTCCGATCATGAGAGCTCGCGTCGCGCCCGTCGCGCTATAAAACCGCCGGGTAGGGGATCCGTGCTCCCCCGTGCTCTCTCAGAGGTGGGTTGGCTTTTCCTCCCCCTCTTACCAAGTCCTCGTCCTCGGTTCTGTGGAGGGGAGATGGCGGCGGCGGGCATGGAGTACCGTTGCTTCGTCGGCGGGCTGGCCTGGGCCACCAACAACGAGTCCCTGGAGCATGCCTTCGCCTCCTACGGCGAGATCCTCCACTCCAAGGTCTGTTTTGTTTC